GGCTGAGAGGGCAAAGCACAAAGATGCAGGGCAAGGCAGGGGTGGCTGTGAACATCCAAGCAGATGCAAACTGAAAGTGAGCTACAAGAGGAAGGGAGGAGCAATGAGATGCTCCCTGGTCCAGTCCATTTGATGGTTTCCTGTCCCTGCGCGCAAGGTGTCTTGGCAGCAACATTACAATAAGGGGTTCCGACACACACCAAACTGCAGCCTTGAAGTGCAGAACCATCTTGTAAGTGGACGAAAGATTTGCCATGATGATGCATTAAGGCCGGCCCCTGTTGGATATCAGCATTAGTGGACAGGTTTGCTTGAGGTCGCTGCTCATTGAATGTACCTTAAGATGCCACTGCCTGTTGCCCAAGATGATGATCTGGAGGAGCAAGTGATGAGCTGCAGTAATAGAGCCAAACAGTCATACAGCACGGGAACAGACCATTCAGTCCAACCAGTCCATGCCAAACATAATCCCAAACTAAACTAGTCCCACCTGCCTGCTCCTGTACCAAATCCCTTCAAAGCCTTGCTATTCATGTACCTATCCAAGTGTCTTTTAAATTTTGTAATTATACCCACATCCACCACTTCCTCAGGAAGTTCATTCCACACGTGAACCACCTTCTATGTAAAAAATTTTCTCTCATGTTTTTGTTTTAAATCTCTCTCTTCTCACCTTAAAAATGTGCCCCCTAGTCTTGAAATCCCCATCCTCCATCCGAGGGAAAAGTCAACTAGTCTTGAGGTAATCAAGTTTCATGTTGGGAATTGTCACCATCTAGTTTCTATCTAGCAGGTGGCAGATTGGGAAACTGCGGTTGATGTGGTGAGATTAGGTATTGACGAGATGTATGCAAATAGGCCACTTACTGCTCACTAGCAAAATATTATCACACCATTTAAAACTGAGTTGGAAAATGGAACTTTATGCTCTTAACATCAAGAAGCTCCTTGCTAGCCATCTCACACCATTTTCCCAGCTTTCCCACCAATAGCCACATAATTCAGTGCCTGGGAAGATTACGCCCTTAGACTACAAATGCAAGAAGTTCTGAGGGTCCTTTATAAGACATTGATTTCCCCTTGACTATCATATCCAATTCTGGGCATCACAATTTATGATATGAAAGCTTTAGAGAAGGTGCAGAAAGAATTATATGAATGGTCCTGTGAATAAGTGATTTTGATTATGTGTATGGGATGGAGGAGCTGGGTTTGTTTTCATTACAGAAGAGAATATTCAGAGTAGATTTGACAGTGGTGTTCAAAATCATGAGAAACTGAGACAGAGTGGATAGGCAAAAACTGTTCTCAATGCTGGCAGAGTCAAGAAGCAGATAACATAGATGTAAAGAGATTAGTAACAGAACCAAAGGCAACATGAGGAAAAATATTTTACACAATGTATAGGATTAATTAGGATTTGGATTGTGCTGCCTGAAAGAATGGTGGAGGCACATTCAATCAGGCCTTTCAAAAGGAAATTGGATGAGAACCTAAAGGAAAAATAAACATGAAAGGCTCAGGAAAAGAGCGAGAAATGAGATTGGCTAAATTATTGTTGCAGAGGGCTGTCATAAGGTCAACAGACTGAATGGTCACTTTTGCGCTTAACCACTTACCACATGGGTCTTTGTATTGTCTTTTATATTGAAAATGGGAATTGAGTATTTTTTAGGTGCATGGCAAAGGAACAGCTTCCTTGCAATGTTGAAAAAGCTTAGCCTTATTTTAATAACTTCATCCATTTGTAATGCTGCTCTCTGCAGGAGTGGAATTCTGCGATCCTCTTAGCAGGCTGAAAAAAACAGTTAACTGCTTCTGCATTTTGTGCAGTTCAATACCACACAGACCAGCGAACTGAATAAGCAAAGGTTATTATGTGCTGAAGTTCATTCTTGACAATGTCAGAGAAGTATGTCTGGACTGTTTAATTTTCTGGTCTATTTCTAGATGACATAAATCTACCAGAGTGGTTTAGTGGTGGTGAAACTGAATATGGTAGGGTAAAATTTAGTACAGCTAAAAAGGAGACAATTGTATTCAACCTAATTGACACTGAAGAAGTAATGAAGCATCATTGTATCAATAGTATTTTACTTGCTAAATATTTTGCACTTTAATATTTAATACCATCATGTAAAGAAGAAAAGTAAATTATACATGCAAATTATACAATATAGGTAAAGCATTTTGACTTTACAATATTCCTAAATCTTGAATGTTTTATATTGTATATTTTTGAAAACTGTGTAGTATTACCAGCGTAGTGACAATTATACTCAATATGTAAGGGAGCAACATCGCCTGAAGAACAATATATACACATTAAAATGCAACTAAAGTACTGCAGATGCTGGAAATCTGAAACAAACACAGAGAATGCTGGAGAAATACTGCGAATCTGGCGGTATCTGTGGAGAGAGATCATTCTGAGTCCAGTATAACCCTGTTTCAGAAATTAATATTTTACAGACGAGTTGATCTGTCGGCCCATTGGACCAAAGTTGTGGTGTTGATTTTTACATTGAATGAGAGCTGTCAGCACGGTTAGGACTCATGGGGATCAGTTTGTTGTATCACACGTTTCTTTGGCAAGTCCCGTAAAGCTCTGTACTCCTATACCAAATTGATTCCTCCAAGGAATTCCTTTTCTATCATGTACAGTATTACATGAATGTATGCACTATATAAAATTTCCCTAAATTGGCAGTAGATTATTTTTTGATTAATCTGTTTTGTCACAATTAAACTATCCAATTCATTGCTATGTTGCATTAATGACATCAATCCCTAACACATGGCTGCATATTGACATGTTTCACAAAGATGAGGCAAAAGTTGTGCAAATTTCCTCATGTAGCTGCCAAGTGCTGCATGATCTTAGAGCTTTGATGCAGTCTGGCATTGTATGATGGAACATGCCTCCCCTCGGAAACCTCCACACTGGTTGTTCATTTCTGTTATGTCTTCATCTGGAGCCATTGAATGGAGAACAGATGTTTCCCATTTGGGAAGGAAAAAGTGATCATTCTTAGAAGGGCTCTTGTGGAGCAGTGGTAATTTCCCTACCTCTGAGCCGGAAGGCACAGGGTTCACTTCCTACCTGCTCAAGACTTGTGTCATAACATCTCTGAACAGGTTGATCAGAAAATATCTACAATATGGATTGGTAAAACAATAGTGTTAGTCATTCTTGCATTCCTCCTAATGGGAAACTTTGCAAGGTCTGAAAGCATACCACTAATGAATCTAAGATGGTGACAGAGTAGCAGAGAGGTGTGCAGTTGCCCAGAGCTCAACTGCTCTATCCACTTTTACTTCTTTCACTGCTATTTTTCTTACTTTGATATACTTGTCTCTGTGGAGAGCAAGTTTGTGCAGCACAGAGGAGATTAATGGGGAGGAGACCAAGCCTAGTGCAATGGAATTGAGCCATCCCAGGACAAATGAGCCAAACATGGCCAAGAGTGAGGTCCCCTGGCATCTGTGGCAGCGGCGTGAACAGGCAGCCCGAGGCAGTGGCTGGAAGAGCAGGTAGCCCAGGTTGAGTTTGGCACTAACCGGAGGTGAGGCTGAGCATGTTCTGGAGGTGAGGCTCAGCATGGTCCGGAGGTGAGGTCCCAGCATGGTCTGGAGGTGAGGCTGAGCATGTTCTGGAGGTGAGGCTCAGCATGGTCAGGAGGTGAGGCTCAGCATGGTCTGCCTGTGAGGCTGAGCATGGTCTGGAGG